CGCACCACTCAAGGCACCTATCCCCACGCTCCAAGAATCCGACCCGGGGGGACAATGCTAGGAATCACCCTTAACAGCATCTCCTCGGGAGTTCAAAAGCCAGGATTCACATCGGCATGCGCGGCCATGCAGACCAGACTTGTCTCATACCCCACCTCAGAGCACACACAGCCTAGCCACAGTGGAAAACATGGGACCATTCGTGATGTTGCCCTCAGGGGCGACGTTACCCCCTGTTTGGGCGGCCCCCCTTCGGTCTGTTCCACGAAGGCAACAAAGAAAGCGACTCTATCCTACTCTTACACCTCTGGGGCGCCGGACGAGGCGTTTTGTCCCTTCCATGGAGCCTCCAATAGCCCACTGGCCAGGATCCAACCCTACTCCAGGCCTACGCTTCAGGGGTGCCGGGGGAGGCCGGGCTACATCAAGCAGCTCCGCCCCGCTCCCACAACTGACATCAGAGTCATCTCTCTCATCCAGGTCAGAGAGAGCAGCCACAGAACCAGTAGAAGAAGACGTGCAGCTTTTCGGAGTGCAGTTGTACTGCCGTCAAATCTGCAGCAGCTGAGCCAGACGGGGGTCATAACCTACTACCATAGCCTGGACTGGGGAATTGCTTGGGGTCCCAAACCGGCTTCAATAAAACCACATCAGCCACAGAGAAAAACCCTTCAATTCTCCCATAATCATACAAGTGCTGAAAATCAGCATCCGAGGCATCAATCCCTTTCTGATCAAATGCCACACACCATATTCCCATAACCGGGTCCTCCGTAGGAGAGAACCCAAAAGGCACTATAGCTACAGGCTAGACAGTACCTTGCAACAGCCACCTGCAGCATGCGTTGGGGTTACCAGATGACGCTGTTGGACACGAAATAAGTCACATGGAGACAACTCAAGATATGATGAATGAGAAGACAGCACTTTATTTCTTCTCTCATTATTTATTAGTTTCTAACCACGGCAAGGGATTGGATAGTCAAGACAACACCTTCCCAACCGCACTGGCCGTGAGAGATATCCACGAAAAGACGTGTAACAGAAGGAACGTATACATATCTATGTTTACAGTTACTGTCCTGGGAAAGTTCTTAGAAAACATGTCAACAAGCTCCAAAAGCTGACCTTTCAGGGCGACACCTTATTGCTTGACAAACTCGAACGTGCTTGTTGGTACTTCGAGCTAACAAGGAGTATAGACATCTGACAGCAAATTTGAAGTCGTGCAAGAAGTAGCTTGGACAATGAATGTGCTGCAAATCCGTGCGGGCTCATGTTTCAGGGACAAGCTCCTGACATGTTTCGTTTTCTTTTAGAACTCTTACTGTCTTTCATACCTCACGTTGCAGTTGGTTCCCTGTGACTCCGGGTCTGGTCTAGCTAGGCATCTGTGACTAAATAGAGGGATAGGAAAGATGGAGATGAGATACTTTAATAGTGGTAAAATATCAAACCTCAGATACCACATGTTCTCTGGGCAAGCTCTAAAGATTAAATTGTGTGGTGGACTTAATAATATATAGGGGTACTAATGGGTCCAATCACAAATGCTGGCAGGGGACATGACCTTATAACCTGTTTCTTTTCAATTCTTCGCAAGCCACTACTTTTTTTGTCCTGGCTTTGAACCTGCTCTTTGCTTTGTATTTCTCAGCTCACCCCTCTCACACCTGGAATCCTACAGCTCATTTCTTCTGGCATTTCCCAATCTTGCCCTGTTTGTACCCTTAAGGACTCCCAAGGCTTTCACCTAACTCTGGTGTTTCAGGAGTATTTCTACAAAAATTTGAGACACTCCAGAGGAATGCCCCATGAGTTTTCCCTTTATTTGAATAAAGTAAAAGGACTTCTCTGTCTTCTTTTTGGACATAAACTTCTGGTGTTTCTACATTAATTTTCCTGACAAATGGGGATCCATGTGGGGTATTTTCACTATCTGGGCATGCAGGCAGCGAGAGGAGTTGAAGGCATGTTTCACCCAATTCTAGTGTTCAGCTCCCCTTGGTGTGGGCTGGCTCCAGGTGATCGATTTGGTTCCTGAGAATGTCCAGGAGACAGATGAGTGGCAGACCAAGGGAGATGGTGAAGTGTCCACAGTGAAAGACCACTGAAAATTTCACCAGTGAGTAAAATGGGATCTTCGGGGAGAAAAACCTAGGAGGGCTCCCATGGAGATTTGCACTGGTAAAACAGGGCACTCATGGAAGGTTGCAAGGGTACAGCCGGGAAGGGACCCTAGCAAAAGGGATGACGATCCCAAAAATATCTCCAAAGGATCCCTTGGAAGAATGTGGAGTTGGTTTTTACATTCTCACGAAGGTAATTAAGGATATAGACACACAACGGGGGCAAAAAGGTAAAATCGAGTAGAGGTCTTGACAGTCCATGCTTAGGAGGAGCAATAAAGGGATTTGAGAAGCAGTCTTGACAACAGAGGATGGAGTGATCATATTGTTGAGTTGGAACAGAATTAAAGGGGAGTGTGGAGAAATATGGTTGAGGCAAAGACCAGATATAGAAGTGAGAGACCAGGACCATGGACTGGATACCTGTGAGGCTGATGGGACTTACCGCTGGGCAGTGCCTGGCTACACCAGCCCCGGATAGGGGTGGGTGGTAGTGGCCACCGGACCCGTGAGGCTGTGGGACGCCCCAGCTGCCTGTGGTGCTGCCGGCTGTGCCCACTGGGATCACCAGACTAGAAAGGAATTGTTTAGACAATGTGAAAGGACAAGGACTGGCTCTGGTATGCAGTGTATTGTAAATGGAGTGAGTACAAGGAAGAAAAGTTAAGGTAATGGCAGAATTTTTCTAGCTCAATGAGGAAAAAGAGCAGGGCCTACAGGGTCCTGCAGGATAGAGGTGACGGGTTTAACCACAAGGAAGTGGCAGAGTCCTGCTTTCTCCAGCAGGGGAGACCCAACCCAAACAATGGTTAGAAAAATCTGTGTTGCTGTCTGCAGGGCAGAGGGACACTGAAAATGGCAATCTGTGCAAAAACAGCTGGGATCTCAAGAAAGTCCAAAAGATAAGAGAAGAAATTGTTAGGGGTGTCTAAGGGCTCATGGTACCAGAAATCCACCAACCTGAAGCCTTTGTTAACTTGTAAAGCGGGTCTGGATCAAAAGGAAGTGTGTGTCTTAGTAAAAATAAATGATAGTAAACGATTTTAAAATCATAGAATATTTCGGGAGTTAGAAAAAAAGGGTTGGCTAGCCCTCGGAAAAGTGTTAAAAGCAGACCCTGGGAAATTTTAGGCCTTGTGCTTGTTAAGATCATGTGAAACTGCATTTTTGTAGTCAGTATATGATAAATTATATAATGTTTAGATATGATTAGATAAAATTATCTTTTAAAGAATGATGAAAAACTATGTTAGGGGTTTGAGTGGGATCACAAGAAATCCATGCTTGGGTAAAATCAGTGTATATAATAAAAGAATGTAAGTTAATAATTAATATGTAATTTATATAACAATAGATTATAAAACATGTTCAACTCAAAACCAAGTCAGGTCAGATTTGGATATGTGTACCCTTGACACCCAGAACTCTTAATAAAGCACCTTCATATAAGCATTCCGTGATTATGTGTTTCAGAATGCTAGCACGAAGACATCTCAATACACCTTAATTTTTATCCCTGAGGAGGAAAAATTGTCTAAAGAATTTTTTTGATCAAAGGTGTTGTTGATCATAACATCCAATTAAAATATTGAATCCTAGTTAAAGAGTGGAAAGAAGTACCAGTAGAGGCTAAGTGTCATGGACATTTCCAGGTGTAACTGACCACAGAAATGGCCATCAAGACAGCTGAACATGGGTGGACCATCACAATCGAGTCAAGGTCTCTGAGACCCCAAAAGTTTAGACATCTCAGCTAGATGTGAAAAATGAGAAGCCGCGACTAACACACCGCAGGAAAAGCGGGAGAAGCCCTGAAAGCCTACCCACAGACTGCCTGCTGAAGTAGTCTATTTGAGCATCCCTACTCTCAGATCTCCAGTCAATGGAGGCCAATCCATGTTGTCATTTCTTTTTTTATCATATGCTGTTTCTGTGCCTTCACTTGCCACAGGTAGTGTGAAAGACAGCTTGACATTGAAAATTAAGTAAAGAAATTAGATTATTACACTACTAGAACTTTTCATACCTTTATATTGTCAGTAAAGTTAGGGCAAAAAAGGGAAAATAATTTTTTCACCTTAGTGTAACTTTTCTCTAAGAAATTCTTTTCCTCTTTCTCTGATTCTGCTATGATTCTTCTATATTTTTCTTTCTGTTCTTGGTTTTCTTAATCTCCTATGAACTAAATTCTTTTGCGATCCTCCCTTGTGAGGAGTCCCACTTATATCAGTTCTTATGTTTGAAGACAACTCCCAGGCTCATTAGAATCTCGTTTCTCGTGTTTATTAGAAAGTCATTACAAAATCTGGTAAGTCTCTCCAGACTGGCTGCACAAGTTCAGCTCTCCACAACTTGGCTCATTTTGTTCTATTGGTACATGCAGCTGACTCGATCTTCTCGAGTGTGACCCGGCTAGCTCAGTGATGAGGTTTCTCTTCACTCGAGTTTTGAGCCAGCATATGTTTGTGAGATTCACTGATTTTCTTCAAGAATTCAAGTCTATAGAGCGAGTAAAGAAATCAGGGGGGGGACTCTCTCTCTGGTTTGCATTCCACAGTTTATTTCTGTGAAGGGGAATCCAAGGGACGAGAGACAAAAGATTTGGGGTCTGGGGGGTCTCTTTTAACAGGGTTTCTCGGAGGGAGGGAACATCAGAGAAAGAACCAATTATTTTTCTCAGTTAGTACATCTTAAAAACTTTCTACAAATCAAGGTTACACACTCCAAGATAAGAAATAACAGACACCAACTTCTTTAAATGCCCACAAAGGTATAGGAGTATTCTCCACAGAGGGGCAGAGGAGGAGAGAGGGGGGGCTTGGTTTCCCGGCAACCCAGGGGGGAAAGAAAGGGAAGGGAAGGTAAGCCTGGCCTCTCAGCTTCCATAGCTCAGAGGCATTCTGGGACAGGAAAAACAGAGTTACAAACTTCCGTGTTGGAAAGAAGGGTTCTCTTCTCTCAACCCCGTGCTTTCCTGGGCTGAAGAAACTTCAAGCAGCTGGAAATGCCAGCGGGGTCCTCTCTTTACTCTATCCGGCCTCTCGCCGTGGGGCTGAGGAGAGAAACTTCAGTAACCGTGGTAACTTGACGCCAGGTAAACAATTAGGAAAAAGAGAAGCTGGGGGTGGGGGGAGGATCACAAATAAAAGATGGGAAAAGATACATTTCAGGCTATCAACTACAACATCTCCCCCTAATTTTTTCCAAAAGAAGGAAGGGAACTTGGTTTTACTTCTTCAAACCAAGGGGAAGGGGTTTGGGGTATGTTGGGATTTGGGAATTCCACAGCATTTATCTGAGGTGCAGGAGAAATTAACTTGGTGGTAGTGGTAACACACCAACGTTGCAAAGCAGAAAACATAATCAAAACAACAACAACAATTGCAAAAAACCCTAAAACAGTCTGGAAAACAGAAGACAGCCATCCTGAAAATCCCCATCCTGAGAAAATGTTCACAAAACTGTCATGCTGGGGATGGTTTCTTCCTAAAATACAGGTTAACAAGGAACAAACAACATTAGCTGAATTCATCAATAAACAGATTCAACAGTGGAAAGTCAGGGTAGAATGGAGAATCTGGATTTCCTTCTCCACCCAAATACCTGTTTGATCTTTGAACTTCTGCCACTGAAATATCGGGGGGTCTGGTGGGATGTTTTTCAATGTACGGTTTTACCCACCTCTGTGGGACCCACCACAAACCCAGGGGTGTTGATACACAAGCGTATCCTCTTCCCCATGTCACTAATTTGTAGGGACCTTCAATTTTTCCACTATCAGGGTCTCTCATCAGCACTGGTGGATGTTCCTTGAGCTTGTGTTTGCCATGAGGGGAGAAATGCTTAACCACAGGGGGGTTTTGATCTTCCATAGAACAATTTAAAAAATTGAGAGTGAACAGGGCTTTGCATAATCTTTCTTGTGGTGTTAACTTTACTTTGTCTTTCCATTGATTTTTCAAAACTCCTTTGAGTGACTGGTGTGCTCTCTCTACTATTGCTTGACCTGTTGGAGAGTGTGGGATTCCTGTCTTGTGTCTCACTCCCCATTCCTGCAAAAATTCCTTAAACACTTTTGAAATATATGCTGGTCCATTATCTGTTTTAATTTCTTTAGGGATTCCTAGTACAGAAAAAGCTTGCAATAGGTGCTTTGTGGCATGCACACCTTTTTCTCCTGCATGGGCTGAGGCAAAAATTGCTCCCGAGAAGGTATCAATAGATACATGTACATATTTTACCTGTCCAAATTCAGGAATGTGTGTTACATCAGTTTGCCATACTTCACAGCTTTCAAGTCCCCTTGGATTAACTCCAGCACCCAGGGATGGCAGAGCTGTGCGCTGACAGTGGGGACATGTGGCCACAATGGCTTTGGCTTGATCTCGTTTCAGATTAAACTGTTGAATCAGGCCTGGTACATTCTGATGAAACATTTCATGGCTTAATTTTGCCTGTCGAAACAGGTCAGGAAGTCTGGCCAGCCCAACAGGGGCAGCAGCCAGGGAATCAGCTCTCNTTTTGGGGGTTAGGTGTCCTTTTTTTTTTTTTTTTTCTGGCTTGCCTGTTTAATTTTTATCCATTAGTTGCTGGGAAAACCTAACTGTGGGTACTCGGTGGGTGATTGACGAAAGACAGAGAGTTCAGCCGGCTCCAGGTGTGGAAGGGGGCAGGCAAAAAAGAGGGTGGGGACAGTGTGGCAAGCTCTTCTTCAGCTTCAGAATAAGACACTTTGGGCTCAGAGCTGTTGCGGTAGGGAGAAGGGAATTTCACCATCACCCAGACTGCTGCTTCTTCTCCTTCTTCCCTCTTCGTTGGTGGCCTGGCATGCCTTGTCCTGCTGGGACGTGTGGCAGTGCCAGCCACCGTCATGGAGCTGCTGATCCACCTCAGCCACCGGCCCAGGATCTCTGCTCATCCCTGCTGTTCCAGCTGAGTGTTCCTCAGAGCCTTGCACAAGCATCAAGACTGGCTGCGCAATGGGGTGTGTGAAGCAAAGCCTCTCCTCCATCCTTTCCTTCTCAGTTGAGAAAGTTGTCACGGGGTCCCCGGTTCCGTTTTCTCGCTAATGTTGTAGTTATTGTTTGTTTGCCCTTTATAAATACTAGTAAAACACTGTTATTGCTATCCCTAAATCTCTGTCTGATAGTCCTTTGATTTCAGAATTATAATTCAGAGGGAGGGGATCTACATTCTTTCATTCCAATGGAGCCTTCTGCCCTCCTTAGCAGACACCTGTGTTCTAAAACTGAGACAATATCAAATAGGATTAACGCTTTTTTAGAGAATACAATAAACAGAGAAATATCTCTACATTTCTGGACTCCTACTCTTAGGAGAAGAAGTAGCAAAAACCTTAGCAAATGTTAAGTCTGTATAGAGCCAGAGAGATCAGAAAACTGGCCATGGGTGGCCAGCCCATTTGAGCCTTAATGGTGGGTTAGCACCCTGAGTGAAGTCTGTAATGAAAAAAGATATTGGGACAAAGAAAGAAGTCCATCGCTGCATCATTCTTCTGAAAGAAGTGTATATTGTCAAAATAGAACATGCAGAATATAAGTGAGAACAAGCATTTGTGACTGAGTTTTAAGTATTAATTTTTGGATTCCCGACTACCCTCCTTGTGGTTGTTCTAAATATCAAAGCAGATAGAATCAAACACATGTTAAGCTCACTAATGGTAACTGAGCAAAGTGCTCTTTCCGTAATTACCAAAGGATTCAGGGGAATGACGGGTTTGTCTTTACAAACAAGGTGTGGGTCTGCTGATAAGATGAAACTATCAGTGAGAGATAACAAAAACAATGGGTTTGATTCCACTGAAAGGTGAAAATGACACTGGAGAAATATAATAAAATTCCACAAAATTTCAAAATTAAGATGTGGATTATCCATTAAGAGGGAAAATCTTAGGTATTAAACATTCCGGGAAGTCTGTACCTCTCAAGTACTTCCAATAGGGAAAGAGACAAGGGACATGTGTCTGGGAAATTAGGATAAAAGGGAGGCTGTGCCCTCCAAAAATTTCAGAGACCCCCAGGATAATGCCCCATGACCTCCCTTTTTATTTTAATAAAATAAATGGACTCCTCTGTCTCCCTTTTAGACATAAACATCTAGTGTTTGCTGATTAATTTTCCTGACAATTGCTCTTTTTGGAAAGGGAAAATTGAGGTTCTGTGTGGAGTTTTCAGGTTCATTTTCTACTACAGAGCATCTCCTTGGTGTTTGGGAAGCTGTGTGAATCCTGGCTGACACTACTGTAAGACATGAGTTCAGTTTCAGGTTGGTTACTTACTTGGGAAGTGGCACAGAAGAAATCACTCTTTGCTTCAATTTTCCTATTTATTTAATAATATTTAATAAAAATAAAATAATTTATAAATGAATGTTACCTACATTTACTCGTACTGTGACAGTGACGTCATCTGTGACTATTGTGGAAGCATCATTGCCTGGAGTTGACAAAGCCCCAGTTCTTTAAGGGAAAACAATCTGTTGTGAAGTGATAGCATGGTGGACTTGAAAATTATTCCTGACTCTTGGCCACTGGTTGGTGTAGTGGCTTTTTTTTTTTCCAAGATGGACTTTGCTTTAAAGAGTTTTGATGCCTCTCTACCGCATATACACTATGAATGAGCTCAGCCTTTGGCACATCTGTGCAATGCCTTTTATTTTGGCCCCATTGGGGTTAAATTTTTTCCATCTCACTAATGGAATGTTTTGCCCATTAGCTGTGGGGAAACCTGATTACTGGTACTTGCTGGGTGCTTGAAAATATAAGGAGTTTTGACCCAGAGGAAAGAAGGGCAGGGCTGGTTTCTTGGACTAGAGGGCAAGATACTTTCCCAGAGCTGTTGTGGCTTGGAGAAGGGAATCACCCAGACACAGCTGCTTCCACTTCTTAATCTTTCTTCTCTGCTGGTGGGTCTCACACCCTCTGTCCTGCTGGGACGTGTGGCAGTGCCAGGCACCGCCGTGGAGCTGCTGATGCTCCTCATCTACTGGCCTGGGATCTCTGCTCATTCTTGCTGTTTCAGCCGGCTGTTCCGCAGAGCCCTGCAGGAGCACCGGGACCGACTGCCTGAAGCGGTTTGTGAAGCAAAGCCTCACCTCCATTGTTGGGGAAGATGAAAGAGAAAACTTATGAATATGATTGTTTAACGTAAGATTCTGAAAATATGCAACCTAAGATATGTCACTGTAGGGCATGCAATAATTCACACAGACACGGCTCCAATATGACAGGAAAAAACCTGGTTTTATGTTGTAGTGCATCAAAAAATCTTGTTACCTCCCAAGGGTAAAACTCACCTTTGGTTTGTGTAATGTTAGTTCCTACCTGAAAACCTTCTTTCCCTCCCCCCCCTTCCCATTGGCTGTGACCTCCCTGCATCCCCTAATCACCCCTGCCCCCTGGTATAAGAGATAAGACCCAGAGCATTTCGCGCTCTCACTTGCCCCGGATGGACGACAGACAATAAACCTGAGATTATTCCAGCAAGTTTGAGCCTCCTGTGTCTAGATACTTTGAGTCCATGTTGTATCCACTCCAGGACCCCCTCCGCCGCCTGTGCCCAGAGACGAGCAGGCACCACGGGGGGTGGGACAGAGGGATCCCATCGGGGAGAAGGATTGCAACAGTTTTATTCTTGCAACTTCAGTATTTATAGATTCTTGGCAATTACCAGAGATTAGATAGTTCAGTTACCACCTTTCCAATCACACTCATCGTGTGAGACATCCATCAAAAAATGTGTATCATAAAGAATGTATACAAATCTATGTTTACAGTCACTGTCCTGGGGAAGTTCTTAGAAACTTTGTCAACAAGATCAAGAAGCTGAGTTTTCAAGGCAACAGAAATAAAATGGAAAACTAGCTTTGAGCTATAACATACTGAATGTTAGTTACTATATAACCACAGAACAATATTCTAACAAGATGAAGGATACTACTGAACCCTTCTGCTGATAAAGAATCCAACGGTCAAGCAGCAAGAGAAGAATTTGAAAGGTAGCTTTTAGATTTTAAAATGTAATACTGTATGGTAATGTAGTAGTTCTTCTAGGCTATATGTAAATTCTGTATAATGTGTGTCATGTACCTGGTTACTGAGAATTAAAATATTCACTATAGAAAAAGATATAAGGTGTTGTAACAAGAACTTTGCTTTTCTTAACTCGTGCTCTCTTAATGTATGCACCTCACTTAAGCTCTTACACTTAATTTTGCTCCTTACTATCTCCCTCCTTCCCTCTTAGACTCTTAAACTCTTACTCCTTACTCTGATTCTCTTCTCCTTCCCTCTCTCTTAATCTCTCTCCCTTCTTTCTTACTTTTACCCTCTCTTACCTGCTCTTACTTTTACCTTCTCAGAACTTCTGCACCTCTCTTAACCTACTTCCTTAATCCCTGCTCTTGCTTTTACCTTCTTACTTATCTTCTTACACTTTCTTACCTTCTCCTCTCTTACTCTCTCCTGCCCTCTTCCCCCCATGTTCCCTTACTCCTCTCTCCACTCTCTCTCTCCTTGTCCAGGTTTAACCTGTGGCTGGCAGCATAAACTGATCCCTTCGTCCCTCTACCTAAATAATAAACTGCTCATACTTGAACAGCTTGACCCTGGAGAAGTCTCTCACCTCGAGTGTGTTTTGTACATCTATACTCCATCCTTTCCTGTCTGGGCTGAGAATGCTCTCACAGGGTCTCCGGTTCTGTTTTGTTGTTAATGTAGTTATTGTTGCTTGTTTGCCTTGTTATATATAATAGTAAGGAAATGTTATTTATATACCCAGACGTCTGCCTGAGAGCCCTTGATTTCAAAGTTATAGTAATTTGGAGGGAGGGCATTTACATTTTCATTCCAAGGGGGGCCTCTTCCCTCCCTAGCAGACACCTGTCTTCCAAACCATGACAGGGGCATGAACTATCTTTCTCCACACTGTTGGCATTTTGTTTCTTTCTCTAAACCCTGAGTCCTACCTGTGTGATGGGACTTCTTTCTAGATGAGATGTGAAAAATAAGGTTCAAATTTTTGTAATATAAAATTTAAGAAGTTAAATAGAAAGACAATTAAGAGATAGAAATAAAACAAAATTAACAAATATGGCCGGATGCTTCAGCATTCAGCCAAGAATGCACACCTTACTAATAAAGGATTGTCTCTTAAAAACAGAAACTTATTATATATTCATAAATTCTTTTACATGATTAAAACATTCTTCTTAAGCTCTAGATTTAACTTTGTTTAGCTTCAACTCACTCCCTCCCCAACAGATTAATCTTCTTGGCTCCCTTGAGTCTCACACTCCCTGATAACAAGGGTTCAATAAATTCCTCCCTTGGAGCACTGGTCACCACTCTCTCCATCTGGATAAGTTAATCTAAGAGTGCAAGAGGAGTTTCTGACTATCTTTTCAGTTTCTGGGTTCTATGAACAGAAGTAATTTTTACTTTAATACAACGTTACAGCCTAATATATATATGTATTATACCACTAGTTCTAAGTTATATCAATAACAAAAATAAAAGAAACTATATTAATTTCTAACATTATGCCTAAAACATTAATTTTAATATTTGCAAAAATCATTAATATAATATGATTATAACATTATAATATGACTTATAACATGAGATAACTTATAACTTATAACATGAGATAACTGGAGTTAAGTTCTTTCTGTCTCCTCTGTGGACTCCTTTGATCCTGAAAAAGGATTTAGGTTTATGTAATGATCACCAAGGTGGGATTTGTGATGTCGTTCTTTTATTTGATCCTAGAGTACTAAAGCTTATAAGTAAACCAGGTACTTAAACAACAAAACACACTTTATTGAGTGTTCATCAGCACTAATATGCAGTAGAGGTAAATGGGAGAAAGCAAAGCATAAGAAAAATAGCGTAACGGGATTATAGCTACCAACATTGAAGTCCACTCAGCTGTCTATTGACACAGAGTCTTCTGTCCATTGCGGAGGTCTCAAAAGAAGGTAAGTTTGGGGTGTAATTTGTAATTTTACAAAGTGAGGCTCACAGGGCCAAAAACAGACGAGACTGATGATCATTGTGATGAATTCCATTGCGCAGGGGGCAGGTGTAAGGTACAGAGCAAACCACGACTTGGAAACC